GCAAATCCAGCGGATAGCAGGATCGCGTCGAATAGCTGAGTGAGCAGGATCGACACAAATAACTTCATAGAATTTGTAGGTACTGTCCTCACCAACCCAGTAGGAGCTTAGCACGCGAAGAGAACCGCATTTGCGACCAACACGATCCTTTAGAAAATTATTAGATAGAAAATAAAAGTTACCTCAGCCGTAGCTTGGATGGAACGCTGATTTTTGAGTTGATTCACACCCTCATTTGTGGGTTTACCATAAGTAGCACCCTTTGGAACTGGGCGTTTCCGACCGCCACGACGAACACGTGTTCGATAGATAACAAAGCCTTGCTTAGCCTTGTATCCAAGCCTTCGAGCCTTATCAGGTCTTGAGGGCCGGGTGACACGCACAATCTTTGGACACTGGCGGTATTCCCAAGTCCTCATACGCAGAAGGTAGCGCATGACATCCGACTGCTTATGGCGATAAATTTCTTGCATAAACTTGTAAGCACCCATTTTGGCACTACGATTTAAATTGAATGAAAGAAAATATCGTAAGAATGGGTTGTTTGGGGAAAGACGTCTAATATCAAGATGAAAGACCAAGGGAAGAAGGCAAAAAACCACTCACGCTCACCAATACAAGATCAAAGTGCGCGTCGGAATGATTAAGAGAAGCACTAAAACACCAGCAAATGAAAAATCGTTATCGTTTAATAAATGTTAAGAATAATCTTTTAATTAACTCAATTTAATTATTTAAACATTTTTTAAGGAGGAAAACATTTTTTATGGTATACAGTGGGGCGGTAGTATAGCACAACTGAAATTCCAAAGAGCAGCTGTTCTTATAGAAATATACGAACGTTAATTAATAAAAAGAAAATTCTGTCTGCAGCCATTTATCTTAAAATAATAAAAATTAGATTAATTTTTTAAAAACTTATGACAGAATTTGCGCAAGACAAATTATTAATAACCATGAAAGTTGGGTCTGTAATTATGTTTGAATCATTACACAAGGAAAGTTATCTAGTTGTTGAAACATTGCCAGGTCACATTATTTAGCTGCTTTGAAAATAAATTTATTTTCCTTTTTATTTTAAGTCAGCATGTTCAATCGATTCTAAATTGGGTATATGACCAATTCTAAGTTTGGAAATATGTCACTTATCGCTAACTTTTTATTACAAATAAAGCTAGGTGCACTCATTTTTGTTAATGGTATTTATAACGTCTTACACACAATTAAAATATATATTTTATATTTAAGCCCTATTGCTCATGCAATTAAAGAAATTCCTAATGTTTGAAAAAGTCTTCTTTATTTTCTTAATATAAACTGGAATGTATTATTTTTTATCTACATTGAGTGCTTATTTGTTTTGATTTATTATAGGAATATCAAAATTGGGCAGTGTGACCAATTATCCGCTTTCTAGTATTGTACACTTTTAATAGTTATCTTTTAACTTAGTAGACCTGATTGAGATTAATAATAGCTAGAATTATGTTTCACTTCGATAAAATTGTCTAAACATTAGCTGATGTGGATTTTCGGTATACAAATGAGACTTTATTTCACGTGATCATCAGAAAATACTCAATTGCTAAATTTATAAACCATTTATGAGTTTTGAAAAACTTATTAAATTTTAGTTATTTCTTAATTATATGCAAAAGTTCGACGTAGAACTTAAACTAAGGCTTCTGTTGACTGTTTTAAAATATTGGTAATACTGTCTAGGTTTTAGAGTCTGCGTTTGATCTGTATTTGCCCGTCTTTCTTGATTTTCTTCAGATGACTTGTCAATCGGAGGGTATATTATACCAATTGTGAATCATTTTTAGATGCGATTATTAAAAGAAAACTGTTAATCGAGGGTGAAAGTGGAATTGATGATAAACGTTTCGCATTGCTCCTCAAGGATTATTTGCATTGGGTTGGGTCTGAAAATGTGGCGGATTTAAGGTACAGGGTTCCTAATTTTCAAATTTATTGAATTAGTGATAATGTTTATCAGTCAATACTCGAAAAAATTTTCCAATGTGAGAATTCCATGGATCAAGCCTACCTTATTCAAAGGATGAATTTAGAACAATCAAATCGTTATACAAACCTCCTCGAGGATATTGGTATTTCTAAATATCCGTTCTTTAGTTTCATTAGATAAATCAATCGAAAAGGCACAAGTTGATATAATGGAGGAAAGGAAACGTCTTAAGGAAGCGAGAGTTATTAGAAAAAATCGGCAAGGTACACCTGTAATAACATTTAATGCTATTTTCATTAGAATATCACAATCTTGCTAAGGTGGTTAAAGAATATCCAGGGAGACAAAAAACGCTAAAGTTAGTTTGTAATTTATCGTTTTTTCTCAGTGATGATTCTCATATTATATGCTTCTTTTCATTTCGTAGAAAGCTTGAGAAAATGAAAGTTGAGCTGAATAATCTGAGGAATATTGATAGGATGTACGACGAAAAAATCAACCTTCGGAAAAAACAATTTCATCTTTTTCTCGTTGCTGCCAGAGATCTGCAAAAAACAATTGAACGTAAGTTAACCTTTTTATTTTTTACCCTTGGGATTTATTGGTTTTAAATGCTTTACAACATTTTTTTGCTTGTTTGTAGAAGACACACCGATTCCTACTGAATCCGTTGAACAAAAAGACACTAATCCTGGAAGTCCAATGGATACTTCCTAATGATTTCACTGATGTACTTAATATGTATGGAAAGTGTATAGAAAGTACATGAAAATAAGTTTTCTTCAATATCTTTTTTTTCCTAGTTTTATCAATAGTTATTATTAAAAAATGGGGGGGGGGGTGCACGATAGACTTACCTCCACGTGGTCCACCAAAAAGTCTAAACGGAGAGCTTACTTTAAATTATCATGACCCGATTGTATGTTATATTCTACCACTTCCACAGTACTCACCTGAACTTTTTCTCTACGTTTGTGTCTGTCTCTTTTGCATCATTCTTCTGCCCCCCCCCCTCGACTTTTGTGGCTTTGATGTTCCTCCCCTCTGTGGGGCCGTAGGTCAACCAAAGGTCAATGATAACTTTCGAAAATGTGGTAGTATCACACTTTTCTATGAGTCTGGAAGTACCTCATCGGTACGGTTAATTCTGAATATTTATTTACATCAAATGGCAGGCGTCTTGATAGGTATCATTAGCCCTTT